GCTCTTCCCTGGGGCGGGGGTCAGCACCACCACCCGCCTGGAGCACTGAGCAGGCGTGGGAAAGGGAATCGAACCCTCTGATAGAGAAATGCGCCTAGAGCGGACTCCCACTGGGCTCCTTGGGGGTCCTGCCACCCAGGGTCTGGCTACATGCCCAGCCCAAATCCTGGAGCCTGGGTACACTGCGTCTCTCCCACCAGGTTGGTTTGCAGGAGCAGGAGGCACAGGTGAGTGGGTGGACGGAGCTGATGCGTACCGTCTGGCCAACCTCTGATCTGATGAATGGGGACCGGCACCCAGGGAAGGGGGAGTGAAGCTGCTGCCTGGCTCATGCATCATGCTTTCCCATCAGTGTCTGCTGACGTGAAGGGCTACACTCCCCGGGAGGGCCCCATCGGAGCCAAACAAAGCTGTAACGGGGCCAGATGAAAAATGAAAAGTGTTAGATTATTTTTCCCCACCTTTCCTTAATTACTTGCATTTAAAACCCAGTAAAACCATCTGTTACGTGCTGAATATTTCATAGACTCTTCTGGTTTTGCTGAGCCCATGAGTAGAAATGACCTAATATGCCCATATGCTGCAAACACATAAGCAAAAAGGCTGCGCTGCACAGGAGGACTAGACCCCTCCTAGCTCTTTTTAGGAGGTCTTACTGGTGTGCCTGCCCTTTCAAAGACAGCTAGATCCTCATCTAGCGACAGATTAAAGCACCCATCCATCCCTCACCCACCTGCGGGTCTGCAAGCCTGGAAATGTCTGGCTTCAGGTAGAAGAGGATGCCCTCAGCAGCACCTGGCAGAGTGACTCCTCGCACCAGCAGGACCACCAGCATCACATAAGGGAAGGTAGCAGTGAAGTAAACAACCTGCAGATGCAGGAGAAATGAGAGGCAAGAGGCTCAGTGACGAAGGGGACGGAGGCATCTTACCCCCGAACAAAAGCCCCTCGACTCTCCTGGTGACTACACCTGCTACTACTAGCATAGAAGTGGGTGGGAAAAAAATTAAGGTTACATCTCACTGGTGATTTAGTTAATCTACTTTTTGTTCCTCACCCAGACTGTGCCACTGGTTGCTCTGCTTTATTGCTTTTTTCCAGTCATTGTCATTTCCCTGCTCTCAAGCTGTTCTCTTCATCTTCCTGGAGTTGCAAAAGAAACCCAGATCTCTTCCTGTCACTGAGTTTTAATGAGGAGTTATTAAAATGGTCTTGTTCGCAGCAAGAGTTTTCCAAATTAAATAGTAACTTTTGCTGCCCAATCTGAGACAACTCTAAAGGCCCTCATTTCCAGAAGATGCTCTTGTAGGTCTCACATCTCTTCAATGCCTCTGAAGCGCACAGACAAAAAAAAAGGAGGGGCACCAAGAATCTCAAGGCTTTTAAAGAATATGTAGATCATTGTTTTCATAAAAGCTTCTTTTCATTTCTTCTTGTGTGTAATATACATTAATATTACAGTAGAATTAATCATTTCTAATCTATTGCCTAAATTAGCAAAATATCCATGAGCAAGTTGCAACTTCCTTACATGTATTCATTATTAAAATTCATCCAAGTAATATGAATGCTTGTTTACTCTATGGATTCATGGTGAGGAGTCTAAAATGAAGCTGTTGCTGCTTAGTGATAATTGGTTGAATAAGTCACAGTATGTGGCATATTTGCTTTTCCCTGATTGAATGAAAATACGAGCACTTTTGGCACAAGTACTGAAATTTACCTTCAGAAATCACTTCTGGGGAACATTTTATAGAGATCAGCTGAATGTATAAGGAGAGAAAACATGGAAAGAGCACAAAAGTGGGCAACATGAATAAAAGAAAAAGGCTTTTAAAGAAAATGAGTCTTCACACAGTTATTTGAAATTATTTTCCCAAGGTTGCTACTATTTCTTTAAGGTTAGACTCCTTACATCACAGAAACATAAACAGAAGGGTCAGGAAGGGCCTTCTTAGGGTACCTGATTAATTCAGCCTTTCAGTCAAGCACAATGTCCTGTTTACTCTACAGGTCTTAAACACAATTATGTGCCTGCTCAGAATTTCTATAGCACCTCCCTACTGCTTCTTCTCAAATATAGTTGGCAAGAAAAAAGAAAATGGACGTGGGTTTTTTGACAGTGCCCCTGTAAATCTCAAAAAAAAAAAAAAAAAGAGCTGCAGAAAAGACAACAAGACAACTACCCTGTCTGGCACATCTCAGGCCAGAAATGCCCACCTTGTATTGTAGCAGCATGTTCATAACACCTAACTAGTAAAAACAAAGTCCTTTTTCCTAAAAGTTGTGGTGGAAAAATCTTCTGTGGTCCTAGGAAAGCCATTCCAGCCATTACCTCCTCTCACTGTTTACCCTGACTTTCAGTTTGACTTTGCCCAACCAAATTGGCCCAGCCAGCCTAACTGAACTTCTTTAGCTTTCTATACACAGCAAGTTCTCCCTGCCTGGGGAGCGCCGAGCAAAGGAAAGACTCAGTGGAAGGAGGACAAAGAGCTGAAGGGAAGCTGGTATAGCTCAATTACATTTCCATGCAGGGCAAACAGCCCTGCAGGCCCAATCAGCCTCTGAGAGCAGAATGATACCTCTTGTGAAGATAGCGCTGTGGTACTTGACCCAGCTCACAGGGAGCATCAGAGATTTCAAATTTAAAATACATAACATCCCCTCTCCCCATACATGTTGAATCTGGCTCTCCCTTCTTTTTGTCTGCAGTGTTTTCTGGACACACTGCTGGCACCGTGGTGGCAGTCTCTCCCTCTCTCTGAGACATTATGTTCCCTCCTAGTCTGCCCCAGCTAGAGACTCATTGCTGGCACTTTTGAACGAGAGGTGGCAAACGGCAGATCAGCACAAGTAAGAGCGCCACAGCCACCAGCAGAAACTGAGAAAAACCTAGATAACAGAGCAAGCTGTTGTCTTGCTCTGTTAAAATGACTGATCCATGTGGTTTTAAGGTGGGAGATGGGCTCTGACGCTGAAACACAAATTTTCCAGTATTACAGGGAACATCTACCAGTATTAGGGATAGTGATTTGGAGGAAGAAGGCTATTGCAGAAATTGTTTCCTCTCTCTTCATTGTTGGTAAGATGTTCCCTGGAAGCCCATGAGAGCCGATCACTGTGTTAATAACCCACTTTCTTATCACAGCTTCAGGAAGGAAAACTGTCCTGAACAATCAACGCCACAGCAGCTCCCTAAGACCCACCCCAAGACACAACATACTCATTCCATCCAGAAGAATAACTAGTCCACCTGATTTGTGGGATCAACCACAACCAGGGAGCACTGGATCCAGTCTAACTAGCAAAAAGCACAAAGCAACCTGCTAAGCTAGAGACCACAGAGCCAAACCTCTCTCAAACCCAGACACAAATAGTTGTGCAGGAGCAGGAAGCAAGAAAGATTCATGACTGAGGTGTTTACAGGCAGCAGCTTTGCTCAAGTGTTTAACTATTGCCAGGAATTGGAGGCTTGGCATTGAAAAAGACCTTGTTAAAAACGCCAGCAAGTCACACCAGGAAAACATGTTGCTGACTGGCTGGTTCACAAGGGCACTTGTGGAGTATCCGTCAGCTGCTAAGGGCATCTCCAAGGGAAAATATGACCTAAGACTCCCCTAAGTTCCCTGGTCTTTCCCTTCACTTCCCTACCTGTTTGAACTACTCTTTTACTCCTGTGAGTCAAATTTACAACTCATATAAATCAGTATGGCCACACTGGGGTTGAGGTTTGACTTTGGTGCTATATATCTCCTGCCTCTTTACTTTATGAAGAGGGAAAAGAAAATGGGAAGGAAATATAAGAGGACTAGAAGGAGATTTAGGAACAAGGAGGACAATCTCTGCTCCTACTTTGCCTGTGGACTTGACCCCTTTCCAGATGCAGAAGTAGCAGATGATCCATGCGAGCAGGAGACACAGAGCCAGCTCCCAGCGCACAGTGCCCAGTTTGTGAATACCATCCGTGAGCCCCAGCACTCGCTTCCTGCCAGTGTCCAGGGACAGGGAGAAAAACATTAACATGCCAGACCCCATTCATCCATACACCTCTTTCCCATATTACCCCGTCCAAAGACCTAACAGACTATCCATAATACAACTGCCCAGGGCTCCCACACACATGAGTTACCCCAGCTCTCCCTATAAGCTCCCTGCTCTGTCACTCTTACTCGCACTGCTCCACCATGCCCTGTAGTCAGCCCAAGCCTTCCCACTCTCTAAAGCCCATGGTACTGTGCCCTTCAGACTTGCACAGTACAAAATCATCACCAGCCCTGCATTGTTCCCCTACGCTGGCAGCTGCCCAGCAAACCCCACTCAACACAAAGCAGGCCACCAATGTTATCATCACACGATGATCACCGCCCTTCTTCTGGCCCCCCATACACTATGGACACCCTATATACCAGCATAAACTGCTTTTTATGATTCTCATGCCTTTCCTTCAGCCTCATTCCCTGGAGCCTTACCATCACCCAAGGTGGGCCACATGAAAGCTAAGCACTGCAGCTCACGTGATCCTGGCAGCCCGGTCCCACACATACCACTCCTCTGCACTCCTTCCTCCAAACTAAACCTCTCAGTACGCCCTTGCAACCTGTGCAGAACCCCCAAACAACCATTTCAGAGGGATCACAGCCTTCACTGTACACTTTGTGCAGGGAATAGGGCTGAAGAAGGGGTCTGGCACAGTGCAGACTCATTCTTCACTAATGGGCACACCTCCTCATCTTCTATACCCTGCAGCGGCTACAAGAGACAAAAGACACTCATCCATCTCAAAGGCATTTCAAGAGCCATGAATGAAAAAGCTATTGCTGAGATCAAGCCCCTGGCACCCGACTCCTTTTTGAGACCTTTCTCAATTGAGTATTGGGAGGAAGCGTGGCCCTTTCATCTGTTTCAAACTCTCGGGGCTGCAGCCCAGTCCCACTGCAACAGTTTAGCCCCACTGCAGGACCTTTTCTTCACAGGTGTTGCATTACCCCCAGCATCATGGCCAAACCTCCCTGAGCCCCTCTCAAGGATCTCACCTAGCTGTCCTAGGGGTGTTCCCCAGGCGTGAACCTGAGCAACCTGAATGACTAGATGGGCTGCTTCCCTTTTGCACCAAACAAGACACAGTCATAAGAAGGGACATGGCAATTTTGTACCTTTCTCTTTCACTGCGGAGGACACCTTATAGTCTGCCCTGGTCCCCTCACAGCTGTCCACCAACAATAGCCTGCATTACCTAACATATATACCTCCTGCTTATAGCAAGTCCTCATTCCTTTGTAGTGCATCTTTCTATGACCACACTCACCTATGCACCTGTGTGTGGACACTGCCATGCCAGAAAGAGAACACACCTGTGCGTGTATGTACATGAGCACTCATGCGTAGGCATTGTGCGAGCAGCCTTTGAGGTGTATCTAGTACTCGTGCCCCTCGGATGTGTTGCACAGACCTCCAGGCTCTGTGTTGATCTCCTTGGCAGTTCTGTGCACTGAGCTCCCGATGTGTGGGTCTGGCACATGGCACCTCACTTGGCCTCACTGCTGCTCCCTGGCATATTCCTGCACCTGTGGCCTTTGGATGAGAGAGGAGCCTGTATAGAGGGAAAGGGATCACATACTCCCAAAACTCAACCACTGAGGAGGTGGCGTTCGCAGGCACGGTCCTGTTGTCCAAACTGGAGCTATTCAGAAAGTCCACACAGAGATCTACCAAAAGAAAAGGAAGCTGATGAGCCAGAGAAATTCACCAAGGCCTCTCCGTGAGGGATACTCCTTCCCCTCTGTACCCTAAATCTTACTCTGGCTGCAAACAGACCCTTCATCACATGCTACAGAGTATCATTAAACTCTTGCATCTCATTAAACATCTCATTAAACTCTTGCTCTCCCCAGCCCCAAATGAGCAGCCAGAGAGCTTGGGGAAGGAGAGAGGGAAATGGGGAGGGGAGAGTGGGAGGGTGATTCCCTGCTAAATGGAAACCAGATGGCTGCAAAACGTAGATTATTGTGGGATAGCCAATATGAATAGCTAGGACACAAAATCCCATTCTCAGCAACACATACCATTCCCTGTCCACACATACATTCATGTGTACCACATTTGCCTTTATATTCCACTCCCCTTACCTAGTCCTCTCACATAGCGTGAAATTCCTAAAAATGGAGAAGATGCCCTGCATCCAAGAAATGCACCTCATTGTTCATCTGGAAATCAAAAGTTAATCCACAGAAAAACAGAGGAAGCCTAGCTGTGGCTGGGACATTTCTGCATGTGACGGGAACATCTGTGGCTTTCCCTGCAAACAAGTCCGTGCTGGGGGAGCTGAAGGAATCAGCTCCACTGTTTTTTTAAAAGACTTACCTCTGCTGGGATTAAGGGGCAAGGGAAGCTGTGAGTGGGCAAAATTAACACATGATGGAGTTCAATCCCCTGACCCAAGAGAAAAAGCAAGCTGCTGCCAAAGCCATTTCCAGCGTGGCTTTCCGTCGAAAGCAAAACCTCTTCCAACACGGTAAAAAAGGCTTGTCAGGACATCTCACCAATGAGGGTTATCTCCCATCAACTCCACCTTCCCAGACACCGCCCAAATTCCTTGAATAAAATCAAAGTCAGGCCTTTGCTGTTTGGCACAGTTACAAGAACTGTGGGTACGAGGACATGAGATCGCAGGCCAAGATAACAATACAGAGGCTTGTATGGGTGTGATTAGAGAGGGAAAAGGGTGTCTTTAGAGTTCTACATCACTTTTTTCTACTTTGAGAGACCTATAGTGGCAAAATCCTCCAGTGTAGGTCTGGTCAACAGGCCTAGTCTTTTTTGTTTAGACAAAGCTAGGTGTGCAAAGGAAAACAACTCAGTACTTGATAGAAACTGTCCCAGTAATTCTAAAGAAGTGGTATGGCGAATGGGAACTGAGAGATAAATCATTGTACTAGAGCCAAGGAAAAGCTTCTGTCATGTGGGGAGGACTTTAGATTGCCTTGAAAATTACGCCAACACAGCTCCCCCACTTGGCAAAAAATGTGGAATGTTCTATAAAATCTCAACCCCCAAAATATTTTCACTGAGAAGTAGTCTTATTGTCCTCTGTGGCTAGGCCTAGGGTCAGACCATTTATCCTTCCTGACCCTTGTTCACAGTGAATGAAGATAGCTGCAGTTACTGGAGTCCCTGGCCATAGCACCTCACCAGATTTATCCTTCTTGGCATCACACTGTGACACCCATAGTACAACTGCATAAGGATGTCAGAAACTAAAGATGTTCATCTACAACCAAAACATTTTTATATAGATGGGAAGTATTTTCTACAAAACTAAAACAATTTCTCAGAATTGGGAAAAGAGAAAAGGAGTTACTTTTGATGGAAAATTTTCCCCTCCCACTTCCACTTCAAAGGAGCAGGCCACACAAAGGTGTACCTGAGTTCCAAGGGTTATCGCAACTGGCCCATGGCAGCACAGCAGCAAAGGAGCTGAACAGGTAGAAGAGTGCCCAGCATAGGATGATGATGTAGTAGATATCCAGATAGGACTCAATGACTTGCGAGGCATATCCAATTCCTATGAATGAAAACAACAGAGGTGAGGAGAAGGCTGCCAAACAGCTCCCAAAACGTCAGATGTAGCCTCAGACAAAGTCCCAGACCATATCCTGATAAGAAAGGTGCAATGCCAGCAGCTTGGCTCACTGGAGAATGGTGCAAGACTCACCTCAAGGAAAGAGAAAAGATTTCATAACTTTGTGCATGCAGACAGGAAACGTGTTACTGGTATCTCTAAACAGGTCTATGATGGAATTTCTGGTCAGAGAGAGAGAATTTTTAGCTGATATAAAAATATTTTTCTGACCAGAAAGGTGCCACTGCATTACGCTACATCTCCTGCAGGAAAACCAACTGTAACCATGAAAGAAAAGAAATGCGGATGAGGTTCATATTTGTGGAAAGACTCAAGCAAAAAGGTTTTTACTGCTGATATATACTATCCATAAAGCATGGTGTTGGGGCAAAAGTATAGGCCTAGAAGTCAAGAACTCTGGCCTTATGTCCTGGTTGTGCCCATCACTCACTGAGACATCAGAAAGGTCACTGAAGGCCCAATTCAGTGGTTTAAAAAAAGCTATTTGAGATGCCTTTCCTGTCCAGCCTCCAGCTCTGACTCCAGAGGGCACAGGTCTCCTGTGGGTCTTGCACGGATGCCCCAGACTCCCCAGGGCACTTTAAATGGCACTGCACACCTGTGTTTAGGCAGATAAACCACGCCTTCAATCTGCACGAGCACAGATTTCTGTGAAAGAAACAGGAGAACCGTGAGTGTTAAATTCATTAACATCTTAATGCCATTAAATGGCCTTTCTCCAGGAGAAAATAAGGGCTGTAGGAGTCCTGATTCTTATCTCTGCGCCTTAACCACAACACCAGCCATCTCTGGACTGTCAGACTAGTCCTCGATTCCTGCTAAGCAGCCTGCAAACACCATGAGGACAGCAACTGATGGGGAAAGAGCTGTATGTGGTACTGCAAGCCAGCTAGCTTTCCTCATCTTCTCCTCAATATTTGTCCTGGCCTATGTACAGGCATCTGTTTGTCAACACTTTGCTCTTTCTCATCCTGTTTGTTTGCCACACTCCTCTCATCTCTCTTAGACTCTTAGCCCCCAAAGCAGAGACTGAGGTTCACACAGCACCGGTACAACCCCTGCCAGCACGCCAAGCCCTTAGTCACCAACATGTCGGCAGGGTACTGCCCCTGCACACGCAACAGTGACGGAGGGAAAACAAGGTTGAGAGTGGGAGGGAGAATAAAGGAGAACAGAAAAGAAAAAAAAACACTTTCAAAAAGGTTCTAAGTCACTAATTATTAGAAGCTGCCACCAGCAATTCCCCTTTGACTCACCTTCGAAGATGGGGCAGATCTTCCTCCAGGCTGTCACCCCTCCTTGGCTCGTGTACTGCCCTAGTGCCGTTTCCAAGAAGAACACTGGGATCCCGCAGGTGAAGAGGAAGATGAGGTAGGGGATGAGGAAGGCTCCTGCAGTCAGGGGACAGGATTGAGATGCTACCTCAGAAACCTCTTTAAAATCTTATCCCTGCCACTCCTTGCCGGGTACATGGGGCCGCAGCTGGAATTAGCTGGACAAACACAAACATTTCTCTGAACTAACTGTGCAGCCCTTGCAAAAGAACAGGGTCTCTCACTCCTTCCTTTCTTGGTAAAAACTGCAAGAGCAGTCTATCCCATGCTACTGCTGTACTTTCGCATTTGGTCTTAGTCACAACCTAGAAGTATGTAGTAGCCAAATGAGGGAAAGAAAAAAGATAATACTGGAAAAGTTGTCCCCATTGTCACAACCCTCCCATTCAAGCTTCCAGCAGAAGCCAGGCAATGCAAAAGGTGCCCTTGGTTCACATAACCACATTTGTTCTTCCTTTCCTAGGAACTTCAAAAAGAGTCCTGTTTGCCCAGAAGATACAAATATGGAGGCTGCTGACATTTCTTGGTAAATAATAAATTTGCTGCAAAGTATGTCCTTGAGACTTTATTCACGTATTTCATGACAAATTTGGCAAGTAATTGTCACCAAAAGAACGGATATAGAAGTTGAAAGGAATGGCAACAGAGTATCTTTCCAGTATTTCCAAGATGAAAAAGTTTAACTTCTCTCTTCAAATTCTGTTTTTCATTAAAATATGGAAAAATGTCTTAAGGAAAGTCAAAATGAAATAAGGAGTTAAAATAGCCCGAGAATGGAACAAATATTTCAGTTAAAGTTAAATAAAATATTTCAGATTAACCCTTTATGGAATGGAAGAGGAGGGAGAAAAAGTAGTTGTTTTCCCAGAAACAAAAAACAACAGAAAATAATGCAGCAAAAGCAAAAAAAAAAACCAAAGAAACAAACAAGGTTTATGCCCTGCTCATCCATGTTTTAACTTATTTTCCATCTTTTTGGTTCTGCTACCGAACCAAAACACCCAATTCCTTCCTTATTCTGCTCAAAACTGCTCCTGAGAGCTCAGTTTCATTGCTGGACTTCCTCCTATCCTCTTTCTCCTCATCATGGACATAGGGATTTCACACTTTCTCGATCCTCCAAACATAGACAATAAAAGCAAAGCAAGCCAAGGCAACTGCCTTCCTAGTTGGAACAGCAACTGTCAAGGTCTCACAATCATATACGGTAAAGCTTTGGTCATGAGCATCTCCCATTGCCAGTACCTGGAGAGCAGCTCAGCTGTTTACAATAGAGATGCGGGATCTTTCCCTCAGCAGCATCAGACCTTGTTCCCCAGGCCTATCCTCTCGTACCAGCCCAGTCATCCACACTGAAATCCCTTCCCATGACAGATAATTAGCAATTAGGAACATTTCCTCTAGGTTTTAAACCAAAAATGTTAAGTAACAAGCAACATCCAGATTTCCCCTAAACGCAGCTGTGCCATAGCTGCAGGAGATCTGAGGCCAGCAGAAGGGAGGGTGGATCACAGCGCCAGTCCAGGTTTGCAGAGCTGGGGACGTGAACTGTGCATGTTAAACCAGAGGCAGCTGCTTTGTTTGATGATACAAGACCTCTTTAAGCTGAATCTGTAACACAGCTCTATTATCCTGTATGTAGATGATGAACCTTTCAAAAGGTCCCACATCCCATTTTCTGATGCTCTTTGTCCCAGAGATTGATCCGTTTTCGTCACTGAGTAACAAGAGGGCTTCCTTACACCATTACTGACTTACCTCTCTTAACATTCCCAGAGCGGCTACCTGCTCTAACACTAGTTGTGATCTCCTCCCCAGTTTGCTGCTCCCTTGGAGGAGCAAACAAGGCCCTGACCCCAAGGGACCCCAAATATAGACCCTCTTTCCTTACAAGTCAATAACAGCCTCGGGACGCCAAGAAACTAGATCAAATTTGAAAGTGCAGCCATTGATAAGTTTACACTCATTTACTTTACAGCAAGTCAGCACAATTGTCTTTATTACATCTACTTCTACAGCTTTATAACTGTCTTACTACATCTGGAGCTGCAGAAAAGTGACAGGATAGCATTTTGGGAGTTGGGGAGCTTATATAGACTGTAAATATCTTTTTTTACAACTTCAAGGACTTCATATTTTAGTATCATGGGAAAGACAGTGCCTTGTCTCATAGTAGCTTGTTGGCCGTTTGTTTCCCTACTGAGCTAGAGGGAGATATGTACCTTCTACAAAAGCTGCATCCTTTTTGCAATGGCAATATTCAAGTTGGGAGGGGAGGACTCTCCCATCATAATGCTTGCCAAACCCAGCCCTCCTGCCCTCTGAATACATCCTGAGATATTCCAGGATAGTTTAGTTTAAAAAAATTAAAGTTAGTCACTAGACATCTAAAATGAAAAAAGTAGCCTTTTCACTTTACATTAATTAGCACAGAAATTGCAAAGACCACTGAACCAGATACCATAGGCATAAACTATTCAGAGATATCATCTGAGCTCAGGAAGGAATTTTCCATGCAAAAGACATGACATTTCTACCCCTCCTTTCAAAGCATCATCACAGAAAGGCCTGTTAAATCAGATGAAGGTTAGTGTTTTCCATCCCATGCAGTCTTGACTTGCATTTGATGCCTCATTGGCTATCATGAAAATCTCAGAGGAAAACCGAGGGTCTGGTGAAAACCACCGCAGGTTCAATAAAAGCTCCTTTCATTTTTTTTTAAATTATTCTTTTAATTGACTCAAAGGCCATTTCGTTCAGAGGAGACATTATATGGACTCTAGCTGGATTCATATAAACTCCGAGAACAGCACAGAGGTCAGGAACTTGGTAGTCCTGGAACAAACAACACTGAATCATTAATCCATTGTATGAGCTGCTCTAGGGAAATTTTTTTTAGGGTCTGCAGAGAAAGGAATTTTAAAAATGGAGCTACATATATAGCCCAGAGAGTTATCTCAAGATGATCAGAGAGCAAGAGAGGTTATTGCTTTATTTGCTATGTAATCTATAATTGTTCCTTTTCCCTTACAAAAAATTGGACTTTGATTTACTAAGAAAAATTAGTAACAGTCAGCTATCCCCCCATCTCCTCCACATCTTCATTTTACTGTCACGAGAAAATTTAATTTTTAACCATGTGATGATCTTACTGCAGTGTTATTGGGAAAAGGAATCCAAGGAATCATGCTAAAAACAAAGGGAAGGGGAATAGACCCTTCCTAGGGAGAGATTTCCCTAGCACTGGGTTAACTGCTGGGACAGCAGTTCCTGAGGAAGCGGTAGCAATGTCCTCCTCCTCCCCATCCTCCAAGCAACTTCTTCCCCCACATACACTGAAAGATGGCCCTTCCATCTTATATTTGCCAATTCGACAAGCACCTTGGCTCTTTAGCTTTGGGCATCTGGTCCCCTTTCTCATTTCTAGAGCTGACCTCTGTTCTAAAAAGCGTTTCTCCAGTTGTACTGACTTAATAAAATGATGCATTACTGCTAATAACCACAGGCCAGCCAGCCCTGTGAGGAGATCTGGTGGAAGATTAAGTTCCCTAGAGAAGGAAGCAGGCACCTAGGTACCAGGAATGGGGTATCAGCCTTTGACAAAGACATCAGCACCATCAAAGCCTTTCCTTCTCTGTAGCAGTGGCTGGAGGGAGGTCGGAGCGGCAGAAAGGCTGAGAAAAGGGCAATAAGGAGATTTCTGCTGACCTTCTGACCCCTCACAGCTTTCTCATCATTTTGAAAGACCATCTGTCTCTGTAAATGCCCAAGAGCCTTGGAGAGTTACTGGAAGGCTCTCCTCCTAAAAAGTTCAATTCATTATCTGGACTTGGGAGCTATTTTGAGACATAGGACCTGCTGGGGACCTGGATTCACCTCCCAGTGCTATTCCTCATGGTTTTGGCAGGAACTAACTTCCTGGAAGGGAGAATAAAGGAGTATATGTGTGTTGGGAGCAAGGTAGGGGTAGAAGTATTGGATCCAGGCACTAGGGTATCTCTTGTAGCGCCTACAATCCTAGGATGACTCATGCATGCTGTGAACTTACCACCTCCGTTCTTGTAGCAGAGGTACGGGAACCGCCACACATTTCCCAGCCCAGGGACCCCCCCAGCCATAGACAGGACAAACTCTGCTTTGTTACTCCACTGGCCTCTCTCTTCCATTTCCTCCTCTTTTAGCTCTTCAGGCCCTGCCAAGGCCCCATTGGCTGCAGTTTTCCTCATGGCTCTGTGGGACAGAGGAAAAGCAGAGCACAGGATGTAGAAGGCTGTTGTAGGACATCCTGGCAGAAGGAGGAGGGAAGATGCCCAGCCACCAGAACAAATGCATTCATAGTGTTACCCTCAGGTCCCCCCCCCATCATCTGGAAATAGCTTATTTAAAGTGGACACAAAGCATTTTCCCCAGGATATGTCCAGGGAGAATTTCTGTCCCATAGAAAAGCTACTTTGAAGACATGGAAAGCCCTGGTGAGGTGAGATGGACCTACCTGCATCGCTCTGGATTCACTCCCTAATTCACCTTTCCTCCCCACAGCCCCCTACCTAGGCCCTCCTAATCCATCTGCCACATCGTATTCCTGAACCCAACGCTCTACCCCTTCCCAGCTGCTGGTAACTTGGCTGTGACTTTAGAAACAACATTTCTGAGAAAAGGAGTTGGAGCTAAAGTAAGGGCACAGAGGCAAAAGGAATTTCCCTTCCTTGCATGTAGTTACTATCTTTTTCTGAAGTGGCTTCAGAGAGCAGGATAGAAACGTTATGGATTGTTAGTCTGAAGAATGGAAGACCTGTCATCTTATTTTGAGGCACAACCAGGAGTGCTGAATTACTATCTTTGACCTAGTGGCCATCACATTATATTACAATACGGCACGCCATCTGAGCAAAACACACACATGCTGATTTGACTCAGGCTCCCCTTCATAACAAACAAGAATGAGCTACAAACCTCCACCTCATTGCCCAAACCTGCAAAGAAAACAAAGCAAGGAAACAAAGCCCCTGAGATTAGGAGAAGGCCCTCATACTTGTGAAAGGCTCAGGAGTTTCAGGGCTGGGCAAGGATGCGCTAAGATTAGACAAGATCAATTATTACAGTGAAAAGGTTACTAGGAAAAAGCCCAGCCGTGTAAATACAGAGGGAATTCACCATCTGAGAAAGCACGTTGAATGCGACTGGGCCAGTAAAGTGGTCCAAGGAAGACGTTCTCCCTGTCTATACTAAATCCTGAATTGTATTTAGCATCATCTTATTTAGTTAGAGGCCGCTTGCCACAAGATAAAATTTTCCATCATACCCAACTACCTTTTCTTTGGCTATCCAGTTTAAATCTAGCCAAAATTTGCACAGACCTTACTGAGTCTTCTTGTTGACGTTTTCATATTGATTACAGGCATCTGAGTAAGAGAGGAAACTAAAGTGTAAAGTGAGAAAGCCTCCTTTGACTTAGCAAAAAATTATTCTCAAAAGATTGCTCCAATGAGTTACGTGAGGTAAGGAGGCATGTAGAAGTCCAACCGGAGAGCACAGACCTTATGTGAGCAGCGTAGCTGACGAACTGTACCAGGGAAGTCCTAGCTGTAGTTACATCTTGACTACGGCATGGCTGAATAGAAGCTTTGATGATGTGATCGGCATCAGCAAGAGATATATGTTCCCATGGTGGAACTGGGAAACCGGACCAGAACTCCAGAGCAGTAGCATCTCTATTCAAGGCTTCTGTTCCCATCAGCTCCGAGTGCTAAGAAATTAGGGCTTTGACCTTTAACATTAACTTACAGAGAGAGGCAGTCTTCTGGTGATTTGATAGGTTTTTTAATAGCTCTCTCTGTGCCTCCTGAGGAGACATCTTCATTTCCAGGGAGCATGCAGAAACAGGGATCTGCATCATCCACGCTGCTTAACTCTGCCTCTGCCCCAGATCTCTTCTGGCCCCTTCAGCCAGCTCTCTCCCAGGCAAAGTCCAAACACACGTCTGGAGAGGGTTCAGTCCAGGAACGCTCCCAATAAGCAGAATGAGGAAGTCCTCATCACACTTGGCTTCCTCCACCCTACAGGACCTCCAAACTCATCTGACAACTTTTGCACCCTCAAATAGAATGAGACATCATTCTCTCTCTCTCCATGCATAGTTTCTCTCTAGTTGTCTCACTTCAGACTAGCATCATGATAGGATTGTAGGGCCTATCAAGGGGCTGAGCCAACCGGGAATGAGAGCAAGTATGGTCCTAACATCAAACTGACCCAGTAGCCTGCAAAGTCCATGGCACTTCTTTTGGTGCAATGTTCAACAGGGCAAGGAGGAAGCAGAAGTAGGAACTGGTTGGCCATGCCTGCACGTCTTATTACACAGAAGATGGTGGTGTTATCGTGATATCTCATTTGCTTCTGTAAGTTGCCCAATGTAAATGAAATGATTTAGTAAATGGTATTCCTCTGGATATTTCAGGTCAGGGGGCACGGAAAGGCACTGGCACATGAAAAGCCAGCTTTACTGAACATTCAAAATGAAGCAGGCCGTGTTTGGCACAAGACATACTTTCTTCCTCTGCCATTAAAATAAAGAAGCCAAAACAAACTTCACAGTGTTATATACCAGCTGCTCTGGAAATGCCCAGGGCAACAGCAGTCTTTGTTCCCCCGTTTGCTCTGGTGCCGAAGGGCCCATCCTATTCCCTTTGAAATCAGCAGCAGATTTCCAGAGACTCCGAACAGAGGACTGGATCCTACAAAAAGCATTAACACTGCCTTCAGTAAGAGGAGCTGCAGCACGGGCAGGGGAGCATAAAACATGAAGGAGGGCAAGCAGAGGTCAGTGAAGGGCAGTCACCTGACTATACAGCTATCTATTCCAAAACATTGCAAGAGAATTCTGGTCCCTTCTCACATTTGAGTGGTTTTTAGAGTTAATTCTCATAAGGGCTTACACATGGGCAATGCCTGTGGGCACAGTCAATTTAAGTGATAAATACAAACACACCAGAGCGCTAATGGAGCAGCCTGCCTCTCTTCCTTGCCCAGCCTTTGCCCTTCGTGACCCGTATGCTGCAAGTGCCAATTTACAGATACCATTTACGCAGCCCTAAACCCACTGTGCTCCACAGCATATCTGGATCTGCACTCAAGTGTCATGCTGAATCAGTCCTCCAGCAGGGTCATGCCCTACCTCTAACCTCACATTTAAAGAAGATGGTGTAATCCTTAAGTCAGGTCATGCACCCCAAATGCTGGCTAGTGTAGTGCTAGCAGGGCACTGATGGCTCGCCAGCATGGCATGGCGGTTCTCCCCACCCCAGCTTTTGCCCGTCCACTTAACTCGCCTGCTGGGTTGATTGGGAGGTGGAAATATGAGCTCCTCCAGCCAGCCTTTTCTCAGCTCCTGAAACCCGAGCAAGGCCCCTTTCCCCGTTCCCTATCTGCAGCACAGCCTGCCAGTTGGCTAATCAGTTCATTCAGATGCTGCAGCACAGCCTCCTCGTCTTTGAGACGAGCAGAGCTCCACGTGCTGTCAAATGGGAGAGAAGAAATAACACATACTTAATGAAACGTGTTTGATCTGTCACAGTCCTCGGCACGTTCCAATTTGCTGCAGTCCAAGGCACATTATCAAGTACGATGGTGCTTAAGTCTGGGCTTATTGAGGATGTCATGAGAAGCTGACAAGAGAGGACTTAGCTAATTTCTTTACTTTTATTCTTTTAATGCAAGGTGGATCCAAGAGCCAGCCTATTTCTACTAATGTTTATGTTTTGCATGTTTTTGTGTTATACCTGTTTTACATAGGGGCAGTGGAAGATCACAGATGTGGAGCCACCTCTTCTCACTTAGCCCCAGGGAGGGAACTCCCCAAGCGCCAGCCTGTGGCCTCAACCTTTTAACCAGCCTTAACCTTAGAGATATCTAGGCCAGGACTTGGACTTTGCAATTATCCTCTGACTCTATGGTAGGTCAACACAAATCACAGAAGCTGGGGTACTGCACTGGAAAACAAGCCTGGACAAACAGACCAGCAGGGGTGATGCTGCATTTGTGGGTTTATTCCCTTTTTTTTAAAAAGGGGGAAAGCACTGTGCCTACGGAAAGAAGCCATCCTGACTGGATACAAGTGGCTGAGGTGAAACTAAGCCAGTGTCCCACGTTTCATCACTTTATGCCATGAGCTCCAACTTCTCTCTTCCCAGGCAAAGCAACACACAGCATTACACATCCCCTGTATTTCCCTCTTCTGTTTTTTTCCTACTGTTTCTAAGAGCAAACCTATTCACACACCTCGTGGCTCTGTTCCTGAATATCCATTCCTACTGTGCCCCCTGCCCTATATGTTCTCAGGCCAGATGGGGACTCAAATAACTTCTTGTTTCAAGCTAGGAGCAATTTGACTCTCCCACAGCAGCCTCAGCCACCCACTGTGTTACATCATTCCCAACCCGCAAAGACATTTTCCTCTCCCATTAGATTCTCCTGCTTTTTATATTCGAGTCTGAAGAAAAGACTTTGCCCCTCTCAATGCCTGGCGTCTGCACTTTTTCTGTCTCCTCACCTAAGTTTGGAGAAAAAGCCAGGCAGGAAACTTGCTTTTCTGACTCCTCCAATCTCAGACTTTTCTCCCCGCTGATAAGTCTGACACTGCCTCCAGTCCTACCCCCTCTCCTGGGCCCGTTCAGCCACTACCACTACCTTTCTTCCTCCGTTCCCTCTCACCGTATCAGTCTCTATTTCAGAGGTGCCCTGTTGCATTTCTTCCCTCAGCACTTTGAAGAGGTGCTTTTGTCCAGGCCTGGAGTATCCTTTGCAGATATTACCACCAGCCTGTCATCTTCCTACAGAGAAGAGGGGGCTTCTTTTCCACCCAGTGTAACAGGCAACTCAATATGAAAGTACCTGGATTGGTATGGAATATGCTACATGGAGGCAGCCACAATTTTTAACTCATGAGATTTAATGCTGAGAAAATAAGAATCCGCATGGATTTTCCCAGCCACTAAAACAAGAGCACACAACTTGCAGCCAGCCATAAGCACAGGCTACACCAACAAATTCCCTTCTTCAACACTTGAATGAGCTAGTTCAGTCTTTCCTTGCTTACATTTTTCGTGCTACGTTAGTTCAGCACCTGCCACTGTGGGATCCTTCAGGTAGGGCCATGAAAGGCAAGGGAGGCCAAGAATGCATCTGAAGGGGATAGCATTTATTGGTTTTATTTGGAAACAGCTGCCACTAAAGGGGAGAAGCAGGAACCAGAAAGAGAGGACTCTGAAGGGGAATTAAAGCATCCTTTGAAAGCACAGTGGTATCCTCAGCTCCTCCTGAGGTGAAAAGGGCTTATCCAGGGCTTGTGGCTGGCTACTCAGGTGTGATGAGGAACCAGGGAAAGAAGGGGAAGCAGCTGCCTGGGGTTTTGGCACTGGAGAAAGAAGCCACTAGAGATTCACCCGCTGCTTTTCTTCCCACAAGCTAGATGACTGCGCCTGCCTGCCATCACCATCACACAAGAGAGAGCTCCTACTGCTGGGAAGTTAACATCCTCCATTTGACCTCTTCTGCTATTTTATCTCAAGGTAAACGAGAGGAGGACAAATCTCAGAAAAGACCAATGAGACAGCAATTGAGACATTGTTAAAAAGCACAAGGTAATACTTATCAGAGAAAACACAATTTAAAGCACCTCTGGATGCTTATAGGTGCTGTCTGAGCTGCGGGAATCACAAGGCAGAATTGCAGGTGACACTGCAGACAGCTGAACTGCATTTATACTTTTCGTTTTATTTTAGATCAAGTAGCAGCCAAGCATGTAAGCTGCAATTTAAAGTGGGAAGGGAAGGATCAGAAGGAAAATAGGCTGTGCTGTGTTACAAAAGGAGGAGCAGGAGGACACGGAAAATTCTCCAGTTGCATGATATGAAAGAGCAGTTAGTTGGCAGCCGAAATCCCGCATTGCATTTTGACAGCAGGAGGAGTGGGCAGCTGAGGGAGCAGAAACAGAAAATCAGGACTATGTGAGGAACAGCAATGCCAAAGCACAGCTTAAGGAACAAACCTAGTTAGATTAGTGCATGAAGGCTGCCACTGGAATAGGTCATGTCTGCAGGATGGATAGGAAAATATTAGCAGTAGGAGTATTTTTCAGCCAGTCTAAGAGCAGCTACGTGAACGGGGCTGGCTGCTTTAATCACAGCCATTTCCAAACCCAAACACTGCTAGCAGAACAGCTCACTCCAACTGCTAAAAGGAGAAGGGCAAGGAAACACGTAGCAAGAGAAAAAACGATCAGTTCCTGGACAGCACTCAAAATGAAAATGCCTTTCATTTCAAGCTGATGAAAGCTAGATGGTTTCTTTACACCTTCTAATTAACTTGCAGGTTGTGTGGGCTATAGGGCATTTTCAAAGCATCTGTTCGGCAAAGTCCATGGGGCACAGGAGGCTGTAAAGAGGATCAGATCCTGCTTACATTTTCTCCAGGAAGAAATAAGAGCAACACTCCTGCAGTCAGGGAGTTTGCTGCTTACTGACGCCAGCAAGAGTGAGATAAGGAGCAATTGTAAGTATGCTAATGACATGTACATCTGTGATACAAGCTGCAAAAATTACAGAGCTTCATCCTTCAGAGCACACACAACCAGCTGAGAAGGGGACCAAATGGCTCCTGCCCTGTCTTTTGCTATCAAAACAGGAGAGCCTCCCACGTACCTAACGGAGGTTGGTCTTTCCTGATGGCCAGCACCAAACTACTCACTAAATGCAGTGCAGCTTGTTCTCTGTGATAGTTCAATCTCTGTAAGTGCCAATGGCTCACCAGCCTGGCTGTAGGCTACAGAGGTGGTTTCTTACTTCATCCTGGAAAAAAAAAAAAAAAAAACAGGACTAACTGATGAGGTCTGTAAAGAGGAGGACTCCCACCTCTGCCTTTGCATCACACCAAATAAGCTCAAGACCTTCACTCAGCCCGTAACCTGGCCATATCCATGGCCACATAGCACAAGGCCCCATAGCATGCAGCAGTGGCAGGATCCGTCCTTCTTACAGAGCACCAGGACGACAGGTCCCCTAGGGCATGTCTTACAGATACAGAGCCCCCAGCCCAGCTCCGGTGGACTCCCATCAGCCAGGACTCTCCTGATGCCCAGGCCGGGCAGCCAGAGGCATCTTGCTGAAGTCTCGTGGTTGCACCTGGTGTGCTGGGACAGCCAGAGTGTGGGGACTGGTGCAGCCCCTTACTGAAAGGGCAGAACCAGGTGAACGACACAGAGGCTGAAAGCCGCGTTGCTCCAGTGATCTGCTGAGCAAACAGGCACAGAAGGGGTCGGCGCAGCCTCCAGTGACCCATGGAGAAAAGCACAGAGGAGCAGCGACCTGCCGTGCAGCCCAGAGGAGCCCCAGAGAAGGGGCAGAGTCCAGAGGAGATGAAACGGTGGCCAATGGGGCTGCCATCATGCTGAGGCGGCAGCAAAGTCACTGAACGCAGCCCAGTGGATGAGGGGAGCGAGGCTCCTGGCCTGCCCCAGCCGTGGCTCAGCTGCTCGCTGCTGACCCAGGCCAGCCTGAGCCTGAAGGCTGCAGGATGAGGGGAGTACAGGAGCAAAGCAACTACCCTCTTCAGGTGAATATAGGCCCAAATGATATCCCTAACCTCTGCAGTGCCTAAAATCTGAACCCCCTCTCTTTCCCAGGGCTGCTGTTTTGGGGCAGGTGAGCAGAGGAGCCAGTGCTGTATGGAGCCAGCATCTCAGATCCAGAGAGGCACAAGGGCAGTGCAGAGATTTTGGCTTCACGCTCACTGCTCTAGATGCTTCTAGCTAAACTCTCCCACACAGGCTTGCTCTGCATAACATCCTGAAACCACAGCCTGGGGAATGCATGCAGTCAGAGATAGGAGAGATGGGGACCATGGGGGAAGAGTACTCAAGCAAAACTCTTCCAAAAGGCAAGTGAGGTAATGGCATAAAACAGTATCTTACCCCTCCCTGCCCTGGAGAGCAAAGGGATCCGTCCACTTGTTTGGCAGAGCCCAGCACCTCTCAGTACACGTGCACGTGCAGCCATCACAGAGCAGCCCTTTTCTCTGCAGGCAGCACCACGCCATGCAGGCTCCCCGCACCTCAGGACTATCGCCCAGCAGCCTGCGCTGAGCCCACTGCCTGCCCCGAGGCCACTGCCTGCCCCGAGGCCATCGTTCAGCCCTGCTCAGGGAGTGCAGCACCCTGGGATCCTGCTCAGCGGCCAGCTCTGCAGCTGCTGGCACTGCTGCTGAGTCCCAGGTAGACTCAGTCGTCTCCTGGAGTTGCACAGGACAGGCATGTCATATAAGACTGGGACAGGCAGAGGCATGTGATAAGGGTTTTGTAAGCCCTCACTAGCAGTGTCTGCAGCAACACGAGTGCAGTCCCGTTCACCCCATGCAATAGGGACTGTGGGGCACCTTTGCTCTCCCAGGCGAGCTGTATCTGATACAGCTGTATCTGGGGCTGTATCTGCCCCAGATCTGTGGCACCGATACTTGCTTTTCTTATACCCCTGCCTGGGAGCACCAGCAGGGAAAGACAGGGCTCCTTAGCCTGCCCTCAGCAAGGACTGCATCTGCTCCGACCTGTTCAGCAAAGCCGGGCTGCTGCAGGGCTGGGAAGGTCCTGTCCAAGGTTCAGCCCCTCATATCAGCGTCTGTCAAAAAAGAAAAGCTGGGGTAATGGCATTTCCAATGGCATTGGATGAAAGTCCTGATTAGTAGTGATTACTTTAAAAGCACTGTTGATTTAAGGAGACATGGATCAGGTGTTATGAAACACCCACACGACCTGCCTGGGACTGTACACAAGTAATGCTCGCAGTTCCCCAGAGGTTAGCACAGGCACAAGCCATGCCGTCTCCCTTCCCTTCCCTGGCCCAATTCTTCCCCCCTAACTGGGAAGGACTTTGATGAAGCCACTAAGGCAAGATGAAAAGGAAAAACACCCCCAGACACATCTCACACCACTGTAGCCCCCAGGCCCATAGGCCAGGGCTGGGCCAGCCCCTCCGCAGAGCAGTAGTGGGGGGCGGTTGTCACTGCCTCTTGTTCACAGGAGCTGAAATACCAACAGCCTACCTCACTCCTCATGCCTTTCCTCCTGGACGTGTTCTCATTTAGCCAATCCCCACTCTTCATCTCCATCCCTGCCTGATCCCTTCTCATCTCTCTTCCTAATCTTTCTGCTGCCTGAGGCCTTCCCTCTCTCTCTCAGCTGCTGCAGCCTCCAGTACCAATTACCCATCCTTCAGGCATCCCTTTGCTCTTCAGCTTCTTGGCACCCCCGCAGCAGTGTCACTGCCTGTCCTCTCTGATAGGAACTACAAACGAAAAACCTCTTCCCTGGGCTGATCCAAACAGATAATTTGTTCCCCATCCTCCTGCTTGCTCTTCCTTTACTTAACTTCGGAAAGCTTTTGCCCTTGCAGACTTGGTGGCCTACTCCCCACAGCACTGCAGACAGTCAATGTGCAGCAGCTACCCATGGGAGGGCCAGAGACCCCAGCACTCCCAGCATGACACGTACATCCAGCCGGACCTGCTCAATGAGCAAGCACCCAACTCACCTGAATCCAGTGCAGGTCTCCCGCAAGCAACCGCGTCCCATTCCTCCAGAGTCCAGGCAGGGAATCCACTGAACGCGCAAGAGGCACACTGAGGTGCTGCTAACCTCAGAGAGACAGTAAGAGTTAACATAAAGATTTCCCTCTCCCCTCCTCTGGTCCCTCCCCTTCCATCAGCTTTCCCCACCAACTTATCACCCAGGTGGTGAGATGGCAGACAGGGAGGTGTACCAGAGAGGGAGAATTTCCTCAGCTCCCTTACAAAATACCCCTCCCCAGACCTTGAACTGTGGCCCTAACAGGAAGGCAGGAAAAGAAAGTTGCCAGAGGCAGGCAGGGCAAAAGCCAGAATTTTGCAGAGACCAGTGACAACAGTCAGTGGAGTGAGTTCAGGTCCCTCACAATCACCAGGCAGGAGCTCCTGCCTTGCAGACCCCATGGCGCTGCCCAGCCTGCCTGCTGTGCACCCCATCAACGCATTAATGGGACAGTGACATCTCTTAAAGGGATAGTGAAATCCCTTAAAAGCATCCTGGAAACCTACAGAACAAACCATCTCCACCTCCCAGGACAGTTACACTAAACCTGCTTTAGTGGCTGAGCTCAAGGCTCCCAGGTGCCACCAGGCAGGTGCAGTGAAAGGCAGCGAGCAGGTGGGGAGGTGAAAGCTTGTCCCAGGCTCAGGCAGACCCTTCCACGTCCATGTCATACACTGTGAATGCAAACGTGGCTCCTATGAGAGCTCTGTCAGCCAGGAGAGACACTATCTGAGTGTGTATTTTGACAGCGTGGTCATATTTGCTAGAAGGGAGCATTCCCTGTGTGCCTTTGCAGCGACCCCTCTGCCCCAGCAGCTTTGTCTGTATGCATGTGCCAGCCCCACTGCACTTTTCCGAGGCTGTTCATGACCAATGCCAGTAGCTGACATTCCAGTTCTGCCACTTTTCTTCAAGACAGTTCAGCTCAGTAATTTTTGTTATGGGCTATCACTGTTCTGACTATTGCTTTGTCTATTAATGTACCTGCCAAACTCCTATTGACCTCTTCATGCACCCATGTGGTTAAATCAAAGCAGCACACAAGATCAGAGCTAGAACGTGTCCAGCACATGCTCTGACCTGCTTGCTTATGCCAGAGCTCACCAGATGAGGACCCCCAGTCCCTGCAGTGGAAAACTTGTCAGGCAGAACTGGAGAGCTAACAAAAGCCCTCACCACCTCATAGCGGGAAGCAGTACATTTCTGTGACTGCACGTTGTATAGAGGTCATTTGTAATGTTGTCTCTCAACAAAATCCTCCATAGACACCAGCAGTAAGCAGATTAGGTCATATTACAGCATGCTAGATTGCCCTGGGGACAAACGATGTCAGAGATGTGTGGGAACATTAAGGGAGTCAACCCTTGTGGCTGACACTTCCATCAGGATAAATCACTGAGGTCAGCATTTGAGGCAGCAGGAGAAAATGTCTCCTTTTACTCTGGGGTGCATTTATTTACTGCCTCAGCAAACACTTTAAGGCCAGCCTAGTCTCTGAGCCCATCCTGTTGGGTAGCCCAAAGAGCAGCCAGATCAGCTCAGGGCGAGGGCTGGAGGATGTCCCCGGGGATCGGAGAGCTCTGAGCCAGCCAGCCCCATCCCAGCTACCCCAATCTGGCAGCACAGCTGTGAGGGCAGCAGCACTGGGGCAACAGCTCGGACAGGCTATGCCTCTTCCCTGGCAGCCATGCAAAAAAAGAGTGAGCACAGAAGCCTATTTCCAGGCTTCAGTTTCCCAAGCACACCACTTTCCATGGCACTGGCTTTCACCTACCATTCGGGCTGATAGAGTAGATCCAGACAAGGAGATGATGGCTGATACTTCTCTTGAATGCGCCAGAGTCAATATCCAAAGGGTCAGGCTCCATCTTTTGGCTTTAGGCCCGTATCTCAAGTCCTGAAAGACTAAATCGTGAATATTGCGTGCTAGCTATACACAAGCATTGTACTGCTGCAGTCCCTTCAGACGAAGGGCAGGACTGCTGCTCATCCTGCCAGGGACACCAGTATGACCCAGTGCAGCTGGTGAAAAGATGCAACAGAGGTTGTCCAAGTATGAAACAAGGATTGAGATAAGGCCAGGTAAGCAGAGCTGACCTTAAAACTTGATTTATCTACACTGAAGTATTTCGCAAGAACACCACAGTTTTTCAAAACTGCAGATGGGAAATGACCTGCAACATTAAAGAAAAACAAAAAAGAAGTCAACCCAAATGAAACCTTTATCACAACAAAATGTGCAAGGATCCTTCTCCATCAGGGAAAAAGACTATGATTTCTACTTTTCAGCCCAGAAGGTACCAGAAGATACAAAATTCAAACTTTAGAGTTTCTTATTAGATAATAATTCTCTGTGGTTTTAATCTTGCTACAGGCATGAGGCACCTTTATCCTGCCATGGCAGCCTCCACTTGAGGAGGCATGAATGTAACTGTCCAGATTTAAAAAAAGAAATCACTTATTGACCAGCTCAGCTGCAGGAGTGTGAAGTCCACATTAAGCCTTGTCCTGGGGATGGACAACGGAAGGGGTAACACACTCCCTGACTACTAATTGCCACTCCCTGACTACTAATTGCCATTGCAGAGACAGGCCTTGGTCAGGTAACTGGGGATGCACTACTGTGCAAGTAGAGAAAAGGCCTATTAAAGTGTGTGGCAATTTGACTTCCACAGCAGAGATCCACGAGAAAGATGAACACTCAGCAACAGATCTCCCCATGTTGCAGACTCCTCCTCTGCCATTGCTACGAGCAAAAGCAGCTTCCCAGGATGGGCAGCAGAGGAATCACCCAGCAAGACAAGATTTGCAAGCAAGCCTAAGAGAGGAGCGATAGACTCAGTCTCAGGCAATGCCAGAGCTCAGAAACACAGGCTGGAAATAGCCCAAGGAGATCTCACGTGGGGAATAAATGCAAATCCAGGGAAGGGCATCCTGAAACAAGGCTATCCAGGTAGCTGAGGGAAGAAGTAAGCAGCAGGCCCACTGGCAGTGGGACTTGGGGAGGACATGGGTGAGGCTATTCTTGAGTGCTCAGACACCAGAATGGCAGAGACGCTTATAACAAATTCGGGACGCATTCAAAACCCTCTCAGATCCCCTCAGCCAGGCAGCAGTAGATTCAGCTTCTACATTGCCTCCTCTATTGCTTGAGGGCTGGCAGATGAGCACTGCTGCTGCGTTAGCAAGCCCTCCGACACGAGATTGCCTCCAGCAAGCTGCGTGGACTCATCTCCTCTGGCTTCCTTCCTGTACGAGCTGAGGGGTAATCAACACGATGGCATCTAAACCACCCATCTGAGCCTTCAGAGCTGTCTGGGCAGCAGCAGGCTCCCTGGAGGGGATCCCTCTGCTGTGGTAGCTGGGGAGCTGCTTGGGCCACCAGCTCCTGAAGGGGGCAGGTCCCTAGCTGGCCCTGCTTGTGCAAGGTCACCTTGGGCCGAGCCCTTAGCCTGCTCCTGCCCTGGGCTGGAGGCGGGTTGGGGTCACAGTCCTGCTGTCCCCTGGCAACCACACAGCCTCTTCCCAATGGTGGGAGCACCTGAGCACCTTTCCCAGCCCCTAGGCCCGGTACCCTGCTCATCAGGGATGGCAGCTCCTGCTGCCCAAGACAGGAAATGGCACTTATTCCAGGTGTTGCCTCTCTTTCTAGCTGCTTTTTGACCAGGGAAGCTGCTGAGGAGCTAATGATGATGCTGAGAGCGCTCTCGTGCAAATGGAAGTTTATAAGATTGGAAGGACTGCCCTTACAATGGTGTCAGGGTATTTTGCTGCAAACATTTGTTATGGCCTCTATCCAGCTGTGTCCCTGCTGCATCCCTGAGACACCTACAGGCACCTTCCTTGGCCACTGCTCAGGAGAAACAGGGGACGCTCCCCAGCAGCGCAGCTCCTGCCTGTGGGAGAGGCCACCACTGTCCCCACTTATCAGAATAATCCCATTTTTTGACACCTTTGTTAATGAAACAGGAGGAATGCTGGTTCCCCTGCAGACACAGCACAGCTGCTTGCTTAATCAGGAATTTGCCTAGCCAACTGAATGCTATATTTTTAGAGGAGCCAGAAGAGTTTCCCCTAGGCATTTTTATAATTTTTTTTTTAATGTTTATAGCTAATTTCTGCTTAAGTAAGCCTGTGACTTTCTACAACAATTTCACCATAACTAATCACAAGCGAACATAACCAAAGCAACAAATGCTAATTAGGCCCTCTAGAACCTTAATCTGCTCTGACAGTCAGCACCAGCCGCCCGTAACTGGGGCCTCACCATGCCTCCTCTTAGCACAGCTGTCATTACCCACCTTTTGCTTGAACGCAGGAGAAGAGGAGGCTGCCAAGCGTCTCCACCTTCAGAAGTACATGGAGGTGAGACATCTCCTATTCCACGGCATCCACAGGCGGAAGGAGATAACAAGGCAAGGACAAACGGCCAGGGCTGGCAATGTAAGTGATCTGCATGGAGGATTACAAATGCTGGGGGATGTCTGTTGTCTAACACCCTCTCTGAGTCTAACAGCAACACTCGCTGCTGATCAGAGACCAAAGACCAGCTCAGTAAAGTGGCAGGGAGAGGGCACATAGGCAGACGCTCGCTTGCTTCCTCTTTTCCTCCCAGGGTAGCTGAACCAGTTGCAGTAGGATGCATGTTATGATAGCAAACATCTATGATTCACAAGGATGCAAGAGGGATCTGCAGGGATTGACAAGAGCATGTTGCTGGTCAAAGTGATTCAGCTCTGGTCAGGGGAGATGGGAAAGAGGGGAGACCAAGTCACTAGGTGACTTCTCTAAAGTAATTACTTTCTAAACCCTTCTTTGTGCTTCCCCACATATGCTCCTCTTATCTGTGCTATGCAGATCCCCATCGTGAAGTCTGTTAATCACACTAACTCCAAATACCCTGCTCTGGGGGATATGCTCATTTGCACTGGCCTGTAGGACAGATTATTTGGGAATCTCTGATTCACAGGATTAAATATCCCACATGTAAGATGCTAATCATGCTGTATTTTCCCCATTTATGCACCATTCCCTGACTTCTCCTATGCATTCACCTTTCTTGTCATCTAAACTTGCAATATTACTAACAGCGCACAATTCCTCACCAGCCTCAGAAAAACTCTCGTATCCCTAGTGGCAAAAAGAGGAGGACCCCTCAGGGCATCCATTCAAATACTCTAGCAACACCAGGGTTCGGGCTGCTTCCCAGAGAAGCAGATGTATCCTGGTCCATTCCCAAGGTCTAAAGCCTCTGCTTCTGCTAGCAATGCTGGCACCTCCCCCAGGAAAGGCAAAGAGAGCATCACCAGTTTTTCTTCCGCTGGTCAGAGGGCTGAGACTCTTCCCCAGGCACCACTGATGCAAACACTGCAGTGTGGGAAAAGCAGAGCACGATTTTCATGAACAGATGGATGGAAAGGTCAGACATTATTTCTAAGCACTAACAACCCAGGTCAGACTCTCAGGGACTTTTTAATTTCTAGGTAAACTTCTCATATGAGCCTTCCCCCCCTCTCCCCCCAAAAGAAATCCACAAAAGAAAAATCATCTCCATTTTCTTCAAATTAATGGATTCACTTCTCAAGTTAAGTAGCAGATTCTGAATTCTGAATGTAGAATATTTCCAAGAACTGCATGCCTCCTATCCGAAGTGATGTCGGAGCCTCCCCAGATGGAGAAGGTGTGAGTAATGACGCATTCTATAGACTGCAAAAAGAGCAGTATTACTGATGTGTAATGCAATGAAAATTCCCTACTATAAACTGGTGAATGCTACTGCTGTGATCTAACCATGGGGTTGTAAAAACGCTATGAAAAAATGTCATGTCTGGAAGGTCAATCTGCTCAATGAATAACAAACTATATTTGGCGTGCATTTCAAGCCAGGTAGCAGAGGTCCCAATACTTAGTCCTAAACTCCTGTTACAAATAAGACACAGTCCTTTAAGAACTTCTTACAAAAAACCCTTTGTCTTTCTTGCTTATCGGACCTGCTTGTCTCATCCAAAACTTTACAGCAATTAAGTCATTTCAGAACACAGGCTTAGGAATTTTCCTTGATCATATATAACCTGATCAATAAACCATGTGACCAACTGACTGGACACAAGACTGTTTTGAAGCAAAGCAAGCCACAAACCTTTCAACTGACTTCCATTTTGCCTAAATGCAGCTCAGCAGACTTTCTACATCACCTACATTTTGGAGGTAACTGTAGACAATTACTATTTTCTATCAGGTTCTACATGTTTTCCCAATGGGGAAGACCTCCTATAGGTATTACTGGAAAATGAAAGTATGGTTGTGTTTATGATTAGAATTCCATGGATACAAATATCTGCTACTGGCGTTTCTGATACGATGCACACAAAAAGCCAGCAGAAAAACTTGTGTTGAATCCCATTATCTATGAAAAGTAAGAGCTGATACCACACAGGAGGAAAGGGACCTCACTAACCCTTCTTGCACCCTTTCCTACAGCAACCCAGACCACCTACCAATCAGACTTACATAAGTCCCTATGGATCCCAGCTCTGGCTACCCCACAAGGCAAAAAGCAGGATGCTCAGCAACTGTGCCAAGACACAGGGGGCAGGTGGGTGGCGGGGAGCCCAGACCACCCTCACAGCCCATGAGGACCCTGTGTCCCGTGCCTGTCCAGCTGCAAATCCAAGGGAGGACCTCCCCTTGCACCTTGCTGCTGGGCTCCCAGCAGTAGGTGAAGTCCTGGGGCCACCTTGTGGCTAATTGCATGGATTGTTTTAATTTCTGCTTTAATCTCCCCATACCGGATGTTACCAGCAGTCCCAGAAGACTGGGCCATACACCAGCACTCACCAGGGTCCACGTGTGCTCTGAAAAGCCAAGTGCCTTCGTTCATTCAGTCAGGTCTTCCTAGACTCCAGCTTTCTCAGGGTTACCTGAGAGTTATCCAGCTTCCCAGGGTTACATGTCCTCTCGCTGCCCTCCTCAGATACTGAGGTTACACCACTGAACACACCAGCTCTTTGATTATTTTTACCCCAATAGCCTGGAAACAAGGGGTCTTGTTTGTGGCTATAGGAGGTGACATGACATGCAGGTCCTATTTCAGCTGTGCAGTCCTCCTTCCATATGCAGGAAAACCAAAATAACTGTCTCTAAAGCACCTGGAAGCCAGTCAGCACAAAAATGACACAAGACCTGTGGAGATGAGGGAGTTTCTCATCATCCTCCACTTGCATGAAGAAAATGCAAACCCACACACTTCTCTCAGACCCCAGGAATAGCCCAGTGACTCATCAGCCACATGACTGTTTCTGCTGGGAGCTGGCTCTTCAGCAGAAGGTGGCATTACACTCTCTACTTCACCTAAGTATCCCAGGCCTACTGCTTACAGGGTGCCTCCTAATCAATGTTCCCTATTTTCCTTTCCTCACTAACCAAGCCTCCTCTTCTTTGGCCATCTTCCCATTCTTCTCTGCCAGTGCAAAAGAGCCCAGCACAGCTGCACTAATGCACATCCCACCTAACATGCCATGAGCAAGGGATGCAGGGGAGACAAAGCTGAGACACAGAGTGATTCTAGAGGGGAAAAAACAAGGATTTAATGGAATGAATGGAGAAGCTCCCAAAGTCCACACAGGAACAACACCTCTGAGACTCTCTGACACTCTCCACTCCAGGATCAGTCCTTCCTTTCTGCCCACGAAAAGGCCGAGGACTCTCAGGAACACCACTGCTTGATCTGCTGCTTTAGAGCGCTCTCCAAGGAGAGGATTAAGGTGCACTGCTAACTCCACAGCCTCTGAAGGCCATCTCCACGGCAGCCTCTTCCTCAGCTCTTCAAATCTTCCAAGGAAGGGAGCTCAGCTCAGAAATCCCTCTCTCCTTGATGAGTGAAGAATCCTTGCATTATCCAACAGGTGGTAAAGGCTGTATAAACACCATCCTGGGGGGAGGGAGGGAGAGCCACACTGGTCCTAGCAGTGAGATTCGAGCTCTGTCAGCATCAGGAGGCCAGCTCTGGTGGAGGGAAGGGGTTGTCCCATGCCTGGCCTGGAAGGCAAGTCCTCAAGCGGGCAGGTGAGTTGGTGGAGCCTCTGGAAGACAAAGGCAGGCACTGAACAGCACTCCACCAGCACAAAAAAGTGCTCTGGGCCCTCCCCTTCTAGTCACTGGTATGACTCAGCCAAACAGACAGGGCTGCAAGTCCTATCCCTAAATGCCAGGGCATCCTGAAATAGAGGCAGCCATCACTTCAGTGTCTGAGAACAAACAGATCTTCGAACCAATTACTACAATCTCAAGATGAGCACCGAGCGTTTGGGAGATCTGAGACACAGCAGGAAAGCTTGTTCACCCATTTGTTCCTGGCCATGGCTAGAAAGCAATCGAAGTGAAGGTTGCTGCCAAAGTACCGGTAGGTCATCCCCTCCTTCAGCACATACTGCAAAAGGAGAGCCTGTGCACACAGGTTTGGCTTAAGCTGGGCAAACAAGTGTGCAAGGGGCCATCTCTGTGGCACGCAGCATGGCCCTTTCTACTCCTGTAGCCAGACCCACCTCTCCCTGGCCACAGAGATCAGGGCCCCATTACTGTCACAACGCATTCCCAAGTACGTGCAGGAGGCAGAGAATGGGTGGGAACCAGGGGATCAGGGCCTTCTGTGAAACCTCCTCTTCCCCTCCAGAAAGCCATGGCAGGGACAGGATGAGTCCAGAGCAAGGTCTACTTTGCCAGGTGCCTGCTCTCCTGAGACAGATCCACAGCAGCCAGTGCACAGGTTGCAGCAGCTCTCGGTGCAGGGCAGGCACCAGGTTACTGACGCTGCAACATAAACTCCAGACTCTCTGTGATTCCCTCCACCCCATCCCTTCAGGCTCAGCACGGATTGGGGCGCTCAGTGCCAGGGCCGTGCATTCAGCACTCATAGGACCTGGAGCTTCCTTGGAGCAAGTCCCCAAGTGTCAGTCAAGGGCAGCCTCCAAACTGAGTCAAAGAGATCATCTTTATCCTCACCATTTAAGGAGCTGATTTTTGATGGTGCGTGCAAAGAGACAGAAGCAATAAATAAGTGGCACCAAGAGGCAACAGCCAGCTCTGAGCAGCCCTCCAGCCAGTCAGCACTCAATAAAACCAACAGTTTGTTACAGCAACGGATTCTTGATTCATTGAGTCAATTAATTCTAGTATCCCTATTCATTAATCTGCAACAAACAACCCCTCTTCAGGGCTGGACTTCAAACACAGCAGCACACCCATGCCCTCCATCCCAGAGCATCAGCCTCACCTCTCTGAGGGAGCCTTTGACGGTGGAGAGTTTGTAGATGATCCAAAGCGGGATGCACACCATGGAGGAGAGGGCCAGCAGCCACCCCAGGGTGTCTCCCCACCAGGGGTACACATACTTCTTGTTGTAGGTTAGCGGGGTGTATTTGATCAGAGAAAACAGGAAGGTTGCCTGGCAGGGTGGAAGGGGCCAAGGGAAAAAGAGCAAGCGAATCAGCACTGTTAGCCAAAATAGGTCCTTCCTGACAACTCCGCACCTCCACAAAGCGTGTCAGTGTAATGAAGAGGTCCCCAGGACGGCAACACAGGAGACACTAGTCAAGCCATCTTTGCTGCTATGGTACCTGTTCTCAGCTTACCCCAGCAACCGCAGACACCACTGCCACTGCTGAGCCAAGCACTGCTCCCCGTTGTTTTGCCCAAAAGCCACAGACACGTGCAGAGCAACAGGCTCCCAAAGTGCAGGCCACATAAGCCTCTATACATACACACATCCCTCTGTACATATCTACATCTCAGAGGCACCCAGCTCTGCTTATCTCCCTACCCTCACAGAAGCCCAGCCCCATATCCCCTCTTCCTTCAGGCTCTCACCATGCAAACTGCCGGTGTGATGAACAGCCAGCAGTATTTGATGATGGGCCATGGACGGTACCCAATCATGTCTTCAATGTTATCATAGAAACGCTCGGCACCTGCAGAAGAGGGGAAGGATGCCTCATTACTACCAAGCAAGGAGGGCAGCATAGTCTGTGTGCCTGGGGAGGATAGTGAGTGGGGGTCCCGTTTGACCACTGGTCAGGGCTTCCCAGGAGACCTAGCGGTAGCCTTAGGACAGCCAGCAGCCCTGTCAGGGATCTCACCAGGAGCGTGGCCAGCTTTGATCTACATCCTGGAGTACTGTCAACCCGCCACAGATCAGCACAGTAGGTCACTATGGCCAGCCCCTCAGTAGGCATCACCCAGGCTGGGACCTGAGCCTAAGGTTTACCAATCCCTTGTGAATGGCAAGGCTGGGAGAGGGCTCTCAGAAATGTCAGTCTCAGGCTCCTCCACGTACAGGTTGAGAAATCACTTGCCAGCTAGCTCTAAGCCCCAAGGAGGAAGGGAGCTCAAAAGCAGGGACACGTAGGAATATGCTGAGGATATCTGCCAAGCAGATCTCCCAAGGTGTTGCTGTGAGGAAGCCCCACCAGCTGCGTCCACGGGCACCAAAGCAAGGGTTCAGCTTCAGCAGGCTGCCTTGCACTGTGAAGCAACTGCCAAGAGGAGCTATGGACTAGCACTTTGAGGATGGACCAAGCAAGAGCATGAAAGACCAGAGCTGGGGACTGCCCCCCTGGTTCATACTCACCATAGACCCAGGCGATGCAGAGGGTCTCGAAGACGGCCACAAAGAGCAGGCACATGCCACTGGCAGCATAGTAATCAAAGAGCTGGAAGACATACATCCCCCCCTGGGAAGGGCCAAGCAGGGAGCGAGGCAAGGAGGGGAGGAAGAGAAGGGAAAGGAATCAGGGACAGGCAAAGAGCTACAGCCAGAGCAGGAGTCAAACTCAAAAATTTTCCCCAATCTAGAGGCACCTTCCCCCTCTCCGGGAAACAGTTTTAACCAACAGCAAAGGCCACATCCCTTGTGCTCACAGCCTGACGGAGACATGCAGCAGCCCTAGAAAACCTCCCTGCTCTCAGGGTTGTCTATAGCTCTTCGTCCCAGGGAGGACAGGAGATGGGAGTGATCATCGGAGATCTTGGGGCTATTTCAGGACAGGACAAAAAAAAACAAGTCTTGTAGTTGCAAGTGAGGGTGGAGACCCCCTTAAGAGTCACAATGCACTTGACTAAATTCAGCCTTCTAATTTGCACAGGGAAATAGACACGCATGCAATTTTGCAAGTACCCATGGCTGTGCGCTCACTGGCTAGCAGTTGGATGTTTCACTGCCCAATTCTGCAAGCCAGTCTACAAAACAGGTCCATAGTTAAGTCCAGACAGAAAGCTGCAGATGCAACATCACAGGCCACTTTCTCAATATCAGGCCCAAACGGACACAGAAGATGGAAACAGGAAAAGGCATCAGGGCAGCATCAACCCCTCCCACTGCTACGAGGAGTCAAAGATTTTAAACCAGAACAGTTTTAACTCCAAGCAATTGATCACAATTCACAAAGAGGGCTATATATAAGAAATCAGCGTAATGGAAACTCAAGCCCATCAGGTTTCCTGATACCCAGCATTCATGCAGCTCCATCCAACAGGAAAGAGAAGAACAAAGGTGCTCCCCCAACCGTGCAACAGGGTACGTCTGTAAAGCTTTGGCTAGCTGTAAAGATAAATCTGAACCACATCACCACCTGCCTGGAGCTCTAATTATCATACTAGGCAGGTGAGGTGTCAGGGATGTGTTAGCATGTATAAATAGCACAGGGGATCAGGACTGGAAGGGAAAAATGCAAATGCCATCTAGAAAGGGAAGGATTTGTGCTGGCAGAGCTCACAGCCACTTTTCCAAAATACCCTCTGGGTTCTTTAACGTCACGTAGTGGCCAGAGGCTTGTGCCCAAACCTCACCCAGCAGCAAAGAGCCACCAACAACATGCAAAGACACTGGAGCAATGCTGAACAGGGAGAGGGAACCACCACCTCCCAGGCTGCCCAGGTCCACTGCTCCCAGACTCCTTGGCCCTCTCCCACCAGCTACCGCACAACTGGACAAGCCGGCCAGCTCACCAGCTAGCCCACAGCCTCAGCACCTCCACACCATCCACCCACTGCCTCCCTCCTGCCCCCCACTGGGAAGAGTATTCAGACCCAGTGAGTGCCCCACAGGTGCTTGGAGGAGGGTGCAGGGCCAAACTCCTCACTCTCCCCACAACCCGAAATACCTCCGTGAGCATCACCAGTCCGACTAGATAGGAGAAGACGGAGACCAGTAAGATGAGGGTTTCCCGGCGGTTCTTCTTGCGGAAGATGGTGGGGTACATGTCAACAAGAGCTGTGACGAGGCTCTCCACGCAGACAAACTGCAAAGAGCAGAGTTCCCACCTCCATCAGCCTGTCCCACTGGGCTAAAGCCCCAGGCTTCAATCCAGCCTACCACTCTCAGGGCAGGCTCCCCTCAGCCAGAAGGAACCTCTAAACTGATCTCAGCCATAACTACTGGTGCTGTCTGTACTTCAGAACATGTCCAGGCCATGTCCAAAGAGCATAACCAGACCCGCGTGCTGTCATGTAGAGACTAACTTAAGCCCTGGAAGCATCACGGCTGCTTGACTGAGCACAGTGCGTGGCATGGGGTTAATTACCTGCGTGGAGCTTAGTCCTCATCATTGGCTCAGTGCAGGGCCACGTTGAGGTAGTTACACTGCTCCCAGGACCTCGGTTATTGCCTCTGAATGTCACTGCTCTGTGCAGAAAGAACTGCGTCTGGCCTAGATGTGCCCTCACCCTTTACCCAATGTCTGAAACCCTCTGAGCCTCGTACCTCCCCCTCCAGCCACCAGCTGTCGACCCTCTGCAGCTGCCTGGGCATGGTGCTGTGCTATCAAGCAGGGAAAGCTGCTCCAGACTCCCCCATGCCTTCCTCCATCAGCCAAGCTGAACCCATTCGTGTCCAGCTTGAAAGGACGATGCTTTTTGTCCAGCAGGGAAGCCCTCCATGCCTTTACCTGGCTGTCCAGTCCCAGCAAAACAATCATCAGGAAGAAGAAGCAGGCCCAAAGCGGGGAGAAGGGCAACATGACGACAGCCCGAGGGTAGGCGATGAATGCCAGGCCAGGCCCTGAGAGGAGAAGGGCATTTAAAGCAGGCAGCGGACAGCAGATCTGGAAGCTCCCAGATGCCTTGCATCCTGCCCCAGTGGCAGGGAAGCAGCATCGCTGCCAGCACCAGCAGAGCAGGTGCTGGTGCACAGCACAAGACCTGCACACCCAGAGCTGCGTGGGGCAGCCCCCTCAGTGCAAGGCACAGCCCATGTAGCCTTTCACTCCAGTTATACCCAGCTGCTCTCTGGGAGGCCCAGGCTCCTCAGCCAGGGTCAAGGGGCTGGAAGCACAGCAGGGGTTGGCTGGGAGGGAGGGAAAGGAAGCACAGCAAGCAACTGCTGCACCGCTAACATGAGGGCTGGGAGCAGGAGCAAGCCTCTGAGTCCTGGGAAGCACAGCGCAAGCGAGGACACGTGTTTTGCAGGTCCATCACCCCACCAGGCAAGAGAGAAGCCAGTGCTATACTTCTATGTGTCTCATAGCTGGCACTCATTTCTCCGCGCTTCTCAGAGGCAAGGAGTAGAGCTGTCCATGGGCAGGAGCCTGCAACGCCCATCGCTCCAGGGTGAGTTACCCCACAGGGTGCACTGCAGGGTACCCCGCAGGCATGCCCGTCCCCCACTGTGACCCCGACTCACCTGACTCAGCCACTTCGGCGATGGGCACACCCTGCTCCCTTGCCATGAAGCCCAGGATGGAGAAGATGGCAAAGCCAGCCACAAAGCTGGTGCCACTGTTGAGGAAGCAGAGAGCCATGCAGTCCCTGGGGAAGAGAAGGTGCAGCATCACCCGGAGGGGCCAGGAGGCAAGGTGCCACTCCAAGCTGCAGGCAGCCGTGCTGGCTGCACCCCGCTGTGCCACCCCAGCACTGTGCCTTCAGCAGGTCTTGCTCCTGGCCACCCCAGGGAAGCAGCAAAGCCATACACCTCCCCCCACCCCACCCAGCCCTGGCCATCTGCTTGGCATTGGGGCTGCAGAAGGACAGGCCCAAAATGGGCAAGCAGGAGCCTCCCCAGCGAAAGCCTCCGCTAAAGACAGTGTAAATTTTTTTCTTGAAGTTGCTTGCTTGAGAGATAGACTGGCTACCCCTCTAAATGGTTCATTTTTTTTCCTCTCTCTCTTTCTCCTGCTTCCTCTGATGTCCTGTGGCAGAGAGTACCAGAGATTATTTTTGGCTGAGAGGTAGATGTATTTTTCCTTAATAGATTTTTCACACCCATTATACATTTTTGGCTCCCAGTGCTATTAGACATTCTCCAGGTTCTCACGTTATGAGAAAAAGATAAATGGAGCCATCCAATTTATTTTCTCTGCTCTATCCGATTTTGTCTCTGTTTCACCTCATTCTTATCCATTTACTTTTTAAACTAAATATCTCTTATCTCTCCGACTTCTTTTCACACTCCAGTCTCCCTAGGCCTCTCATGACTACAACTCTAGGGACAACAACAACGTTTGCAGCATCTTTACAAGAGATTCTGAACCAAGCTGAACACGCACTTCTAGCATTTAAAGGCCTACTCTGACTTTATTAAATGCTACTGTGTAAATCTAGAGTGATTTGCTGCATTACTCTTCAGGTATCTAGCATTTTTTTGGCTTCATGCTCCTCCTTTAACTAGATCACTGTTTGCAACCATTTCTGGAGAGAGACTGCAGTTCATGCAGAGCCCCCAGACTGCGTGAACAGCTCAGGTTGTTCCTTCCAAAACACAGCACTTTGCTTTACCAGGACTGTACAGCACCTAAGACCATTGATCTACCTTTCCATTGGGTTACTAAGGCACGAGAGGCTGAAAGAGATCTCCAGGGTGAACTGCCCTACCAACACAGAGCATCACGCTCTGCCAGGCTCAGCTAATCCAATTGGAAGCCCACGCAAGAAACTCATTTCTCCAATTGCTAGAAACCACCTACTCTTCACCCAAATTATATTCTCAGCCAGTTTATACAAGCTCCCATTTACCTCAGATAGTTCCTCTTCCTTCCTGGTGTTTCTCCCTCTTTCTGCCAGATGAATTTATGAAAGGTTAAACCGTTCTGGGAGAGGCATGGGCTAGGAGGTGCTCTCAATTCACCCGGGAGGGTGGGAAGGGGATGTCATGGTAGAGGGTTACGTGAGGAATGGCCAAACAGGGGTCCCCAGATTTTCACCAGAGGGAGAGCTCTGAACCCAGGTGATTCTCCTTACTGTCCTGGAGGAGAGGAAACGGTCCAAGCCATTCGATGCCGTCTCAGACTACTGCCACATGAACAACAGTCCCTCTTTCCTGCATCCCTTTCTTTCCCCAGGTCACCAGTGGCTACATCTAGCCTGTTGCAATTCAGTGGAGCATGACACTGTAGCCCTTCTGTCCTGTTAAAAACTGGCCCTGTCTTCCTGCACAGACCGAGGCTCAAGAATATAGGACTGACTCATTAGAACTGGGTCCGCACCTGGGGAATAGGACTGTCAGAGGTATGACAATGAAACAAGAAACAAATTCCCTAGCATAGCCAAATAGCAGAAGGGTTTTTTTGTGCAGACATCTCTCTCCTTTCTATAGCATCTCCCACCTGAAGTTACAGAAGCTTTTTACAACGTTGGTGCTAGGCAGCCCTTGTCATCATCTCCATGTTACACATCCGGACTGGAGATGCAGAGGGTTAGTGCCCAATGGCATGAGGTAGGTCAGAGCCAGATCTGTTATCACTTCCTTTCCCGCAGCTCTTTCTCTCAAAACAGGGTTTAGGAGAAAGGATACAAAAAGAAAAAGTGGTCTCAGCCTAGCTTCTGTTGGAGAAGCATCCTATAGCAGGAGTGAACTTCTAGGATGAAGAGAGAGAGATAAAGATGCAAGGACCATGTAGCCTGGTGGTCTGCCTGGACCTTCCACAGTAATGACAACAAATTAGAATTTAAAAGGCAGGGGAATCCAGGGCCAAGAGCAATAAGGCCAGCAAAGGAATGGCGAGAAGAGAGGCAGGTAGTTTTATTGGGCTTTTTCACTTACACTGGCCTTTTGCCTCTAGAGACCCAGCTGCAGATGCTGGCCACATCTACAGCGAAATGCGTTTGCTTTCACCTGACCACTTCAACTCAAAAGCCTGTTTCAATTTGGTAGCATGGTCAGTCTTTGTTCAAAGGGCAGTCCTGCATGGGAAGAGTGCACAAGAGGCAGAAGTCATATTTGCAGGTTTACAAGTGCCAGAGACAGCACATAGGAACAAAGAACACTGAAGACTGTGCAAGATACTAAGTCCAAACTAATAGGAAGAATGGTAAATTACAAGGTGAAAGGATTCCAGTCCAAAGCCATTAGCTCTTATAGCTCTGCTTCCTCTACAGCTACTCGTGCACCTTTTTGATAAGAAGAAATTGGGGTGTGGCCTGGGATAACAAAGCTGACGAAAAGGGATCTGAATTTGCTGGGTCTCAGCTAGGGTGGAAGAAGGAATTTGTCATCTCTGACATGGCCAGAAAGTTCCTGGCGTTCCCCTTAGGTATAAAGCATAGAGTTGGATTTGGGCAATATGGCAACAGAAAAAAGTTTCAGAGAAAATACCTGGGGAGAGTTTTCTTATTCCTTGAGTAGAAAGGGAAAAGAAGGCACCTCGAATGGCCAATTGCCTCCAGCAGTTGACCAGCCGGTTTGCACTGATGTTCAGGGAAGGGAAGGCTCTAGACAGCAGAGCTGCATTCCAGTTACCTGTAGCAGTTGTTATGGTATTTGTTGTAGCTACCCAGAGCTGTCAGGCATCCCAGACAAATTGCATACGAGAAGAAGATCTGAGTGCCTGCATCCATCCAGACCTGCAAGGGAGATGTAAATACAGGTAAGAAGAAGATAAGGCCAGCACAGAGTGCAGACAGCACACTGACGTGAAAAGGCAGAGACCTGGGGCTCATGTAACCAGCAGAAAGGTAAGCGCTCAGGAGGTCAATAAAACTCAATATTTATATAAGCCTTTGCTAAGACCAGATTATACGGTGCCAGGAATTACAGTCCTCAGCAAAGCACCCTGGGGTGGTAAGAGCTGCACAGCTCCTGATGGTGGCCTTTGGCTCCAAGCACTGATTTTAAAGGTTCCAAAACTTGAAAACAAATTAACTGGGGAAGAGGGGAACGTTGGAAATAAACTGAGTTCGTTGTAAAGGACAGCTCCTAAAAGAAAAAAAAAAAAAGAATGATTTTAGTCCCACGAGACCCCTTTGAACTCCACTCTCGCTGTCAAGATCACGTGCCAGTGCTCCAAGGCCGACATTTGTCAATGCCAAATTTGATTTGAAAGCCTAGCTGTGTGTAGTCACTGATGCAACCACAGCCACCATCTTCTCCAGAGAACAGTAAAAGGAGGAATTAACAGTGAGGAAAGAAACAATGACAAAGATTATTAATTAAATCCTCTATTGTATAACATCTTTCTCCCTAAGGCTCCCCAGGGGATTTAAAACTGTGGATAAGACAATCATTCAACTAACGCTGACGTGCAGCCATCTACTAGAGATAAAAGGAAAGCTAGTCAGGAAAGAAAAGCATAAAAAAAGTATTACTGGGAAGTTTTTAAATGAGAAGAGTTTGCATCTGGCTAAGGCATCTCAGTTCATACCCTTCTTCCCACAAGTAGTGGTGCCAGTGAGTCTTCCCTAGCACCAAGATCCCATCTGAGACAAATGGAAATCAATGGAAAGCATCCCAGCGGCTTCAGTGAGCTCTGAATCACACCTGTACCTGCTGGCCAAAACCACAGGTCCTAAGGGCATATCTCTGTGATCTCTGGTAATGGCAGCAGCACCTGCCAAATCACCCCTTTTGCTCCAGTCACCCTTGCCAATGGATGGTTCTGCCTTTCCTCTCTCATACTGGCCAAGTGGCAAGAGGTCAAAATGGAAGGTGGATGTTTTGCTCTCTGTCCCCCCTCCCCCCATAAAACACATACACACTTCTCCACCCCCATGCTTGCGCTGTTTCCTTCCAGAACCATTCTGGTTCATTTGGTTGCACTGTTTCCCCCGGACTGGGATATCTCTCAGCATTTATTTGATTCCATAGCCATCACTGGTTTTGTTTAGTTATTTTCTGTTCTTCCTCCTAGGCTGATGGCTGTTCTGAAGAGGTGTTAAACTTCTTGTTTAGCTCAAAATTCTGTTTTAGCTCAAGAAACAGCTGCACAGAATAAATCCTCTCCCTACCCACAGCTCCATTGGCAAGATACAGCAACACAACCTGTAAGGAGTGAAGGCAAAGCCCCTAAACGTTGTTAGGGCTAATTTGAAGTTGCTTTCACTGACTGTCCTGCAAGTAACTCAGCTAATGTTCAGGCCCGCCTTCTTTTCAGCCAGTGGAAAGACTGCTCACTATTCCACACAGAGTGAGATCAAATCTTTGATATGTAAAACGGGAAGAAACAGATGATGAGGTTGGACTGGAATAGGTAATTCTGGGTACTGAGAAACTGAAAAAAATAATTGACCTCACTGCATTTTACTTTTTTTGGAGGACCGGAGGGGGAAGAGAGGTTTGGAGAGCAAAATGTTAGTTAATTTTTCTATTTCAAAAAGATTGGAAAGATCAAAGTCCTTTTGGAACTGACTGCTAAAGACTGCTGCTAAACCGACTGCTTGTGGGTGGCCGGGGTTACAGCCTTCCCTTTTTACCTGCATTTAGGGCAAAGCAAGGCTTTCAGGTCAGCAGGACTAGCTGACACCTTTGCATCAACAACTTAAGCATCTTTTAATAGGTCAAGGTAAAAGATTTCATTAGGTTTGTATTTTCTTTTGCCATTCATTATTAGAGCTCTATTTTTTTTTTAATCAAATTCTAGCTTGAATCCCAGCAACTCATAGTTTTTAGAGTCTTTTTAGTTCAATTTGTTGAAATAACAAGATTTATGAAGTCAAGCTGCCCACCTCACCTTTGCCATAACATTGGACCCTGTTAGCCTGTTTCAACCAGATTTAACAGTGGGTAGAAACCTCAAAGATATCAGCTACCTAAGAATTTCATGATAGCCAGGAAACAGGAGAAAGACACAAACTAAGCATTCCGGCTGAGACGAAAGCTACAGGGAGGAACAGTCAACCATCGTTAAATATCAGATAAATCAAACAAGCAACAGACGTGAGAAATATCTCAAGGGCAGGAAAAAAAACAGGTGCTTTGCTAGACATGGTAGAAGCCAAATATCAAGACATGAGGCTTCGTTAACTTGGTTGCTCATGAAATGGCTCATTCCTAAAACCCAGCAATACCCTTAACGGCATAGCAGAGGCCGGCATGTGGTCTGCAAGCTCCCCAGTCCAGCTCCTACTCAACATACCACCAGTGGAGCATGTAAAGGCTGAGAGGGCAACCCAGCCCAAAGGGATGTGTTATGGGAATATAGAACTTGTGTTAGCCTACGTTGCCATTTGAAGAAAGGCAGTCTGTGGCTGAGCCAGCGCAAATAAAGCTATGCTTGGCTTACAGAGCTTATGATCCCACTCAGTCAGCCTGACTGTGAGCACCAGCTCAGGCTGTACGCATTTTTGTTTCCAATTTCAAAAGGCTACTGCAGCTCACGGGTCAAAGACCATGCCACCCTTCTGTCTTTCCCAGCCCCCGGCAGTTTCCTAATTGCTTGGGGCGGGGGGGGGGGTGTTGGACTCCAACAAGACTGATGCCAGGGCACTCCTGACCTCCTGTCATTTGCGACAGAGCTAAGCACAGGCAGCAAGTCACGGGACAGTAGGATCAGGCGGGCTGGAAGGGACCTCAGCCTCTCTCTCATCCAAGCTCTGTCTCAAGTCCCTCACAAGGAGGGCCACTCTCCACCTGGCCCTGCAGCATTTCACAGAGGAGTACACTGACCGCTACCACCCACTTCAGAAAAAAGCAAATCAAGTCTTCCCTCCCCCAAAATGCCTAAGCTCGTTTCTTTCTGTAACAGTAACTCCGGATAATTTTTTTTCCCAGTCCTTCCAAGGCCCCCCTTTTCCTCCCGTGCTGTTGATCAACAGCCTCTCTTTATTTTAATATTTCCTCTCTGTTTAAAGGGGCCTGATAGGAGTAATGTAGGGCTTGGTTTCCCCCACAGATAAGAGCGTGCTGCTGTTCTCTGACCACTGTTCCCAAAGAGACTGGTAAAGCTTATCCTGCTGCTGAGATTGCACTGGCACGTTGACAGCCTGGGTATTGTGATTTGATTGCTGCCTGCAGTTTTCTGGGCCATCCAGTTTATTTAATTCATAATTCAATTTCATTGAATGTGTTGTTTGTTCCAGTTTGTAATAACCTCCTACTCTCTGTTTTTAACCAAAGCTTTCACACCTGAGCTGCAGTTATCCAAGATGGTTATGGCCTATAGGAGGATGTTTTCCTTCCCCCCTTAATTTTCTCAGCAATATTTGCTTTGTTACATGTACTGGAATTTAATAACCCCCTGTACTGAAACAGATCCTTCCTTAGGAAGATCTCAAAGCACTTACAAATAATAGTAAAGACCATTTTAGAGCGAAACATTACTGAACCCCAAGGTAAGCAATATATCAAATACAAGTGTCACGCTGAGAAGCGTGGAACTGTCCCCATCAGCGAGCGGAGATGATAGATCACCGAGTGGGTAAACGCTCCGCAGAAGGTCACGCTTGGCACGTCGCAGAGCACAGAGCAACACCCCGCCCAAGTCTTCAGCGGCACTTCGGGGAGCGTTTCCTGCAAAGGCTCTGCCAGGTTCACCCACCACCTCCTTCTCCCCTCCTCCCACCCCGCCGCATGTGTGGGTACAACAGTGGTGCGCTCCCCTGTGTGGCAACCTCAGATGGGGAAACAGTCCAGGTTAAATTTAGCTGGGGGGGGGCGGGGGCGGAAAACCCAAAAGTAGTAATAGTAATTTAAAAAAAAAAAACAGATTAGGGATTATTTTTAAGAAAGGA